CCCCCCCCCCATGGTGAAGACTGCTCCACACTAAGAAATGGCCTCTGTGCAGTTTAACCAAAGGCAGGATGGCTGTCTAGCAGCTGAGGGGATGAAAGCGCAGAGCTGTCAACCACTGGCCCCAACAGCCCCAGCTGCTTCTCTTGGCCCTGCCTGCTGTCCCTTTCTTTTCAGTCAGGACTGACTCGATGTGACCTTGTTAAAGTGCATCAGGCAATGGAGCCAAATACCCCCCAGAAAAGCTCCAGTGGCTTTTTTCCCCAGCTTGTAGAACAGGGAAGCTTCTAGAGAGAGAGAGGAAGCTGGAAGGTATAGAAGCAAAACAGGCAAGATTAGACCAGAAGTGTGGATGGTTTAAGGCATGAATGATCCCAGGGGCTGACAGATGCTGTTGGGATTGCAGCCCCTGGCCAGGCCATTTCTAGTTGAACAGCCAGCACTGAGGTTCTATTTCCATTGTGGGCCTACTTTTCTCCCCCAGTGACCTTGGCAAACAAGCAAATGTGGCTGTGGTCATTTTAGTGGTTCAAGGCTAAAAGCCTACTCCATTCACCTTGGGGAGAGTGTTCTCATTGCTCTCCATCAGTTTGGGGTTCTAGGAATCTGGGTCATCCCCAGCTGAGAGAGGCAGCTCCCTGCTCTGCTTACAGGCAGATGGGAAGAAGCTCAGGCAATTCTTCCCCATCTGCTACCCATCACCATGGAAACTAATGGGGGGGCGGGGAAGGGAGGTGGAAGGAGTCAGCTCTTCTAAGGATGTGGGCAATTCTTTCCTCCTCCATAACGACTAGTCCCCAGGGCATATTGTTTCTTTCATAGTAAAACCTCAGAATTTATTTATCATAAACATTTATGTGGCACTCTCTATGTACCAGGTGCTATTCTAGGTACTTCACGAATATTGCCTTACATAATACTCATGAGGTAGATCCTACTATTTTCATTTACAGATGAGAAAACTGAGGCACAGAAAGGGTAAATAACTGCTCCAAGTCACACAGTGAGTGAGTAGCAGAGCCAGGATTCAAACCCAGGCAGCCTATGTCCCAAGTCCATGTCCTTAGACACTACATTGCATTGCCTCTTGGGGCAATGAGGGTCAGTGGGAAAGATCAGCTGATAGTCAGGGTTTCACTCCAAGTCAGCCAGGGAAACATCAACTGACAGTCTGCACTCCAAGTCAGGGTTTCACGGTCCCAGGACTAAAGCCCTGCCTTGGCTAGATAGGGACCCACGATGAACTAAGTAATTGATCTACCAGTTGGGATTCATGGCCATTGAGAGTGCATTCCCATGGTGCGGCCCCAGTGTAGGTGTGAAGGACTTCAGCATTAGAAAATACAGCAACAGAGGGCAGAACTGGAACTAGTGAATGCACGTAACAAAAAGGGAGGTTTGAACTCAATGCAATCTGTATGAACTCACTGTAACCCTTCTCACATTTGGACAACAGTATAGTAGGCTACCTCAATAGGCACGGATCTGAGCATCTTCCAGGGATATTGGACAGGGACATTTAGTTTTGGTGGGAGAGGGGAGTAAATGCCTACTGAAGTCTCTGTTTTTGCCAGGAAATGGAGTCATCTTTGTAAGATAAAAATGGAGGCTTCCACTGGACACATGTCTTGGATGAAGAGGGAATGGAAAATGAGTGTTCTTGCTCCTTCCACTTCACAGGGTGACAGGGGTCACCTTGCAGGGGTGGCCTGGCTGACCTCTAGGACATCTCGTAGGAGCCATTTGTTACATTGGTGAATTTAACACACTCTGGGTGTGTCCCAGAGCCTCATGGTTTCATAGACTTATGTTTTCCAGCAAGCTAAATTGTACACTTTTATTTTCAGTAAAAACTGGAACACTGAATGTTTATATAATTGGAGCATTCTCCTAGAATAAGTAGGCTTACAAGAGATATCAAATATCAATCAGATTTGCAGCACAAAACACCTGGCTCACTACCTGTAATACTCAGGAACCACCATCTCTCCCTGTTGGTGGACTCACCCTGGAAGCTAAATCATAACCAATTATGTCCGAGCGGCAGATTCATGGAACAAATAGAATGTACCATTAGATGAATATAGAATTAGGAAATAAGGAGATTAGTTAGATTAGGAAATTTTTTTTAGGATCATTAAAATTGCCTGCTGTATACACACACCTCTTGCCCTAATGCCCAGAGTCCATTGCCTGCACCACTTGTTATAGCCCCTTTCCATGGAGACATGATGGGACATATACTCCAAGTCCATTGGTGAAGCTGCCTGACTCCTGCACAGCGCCCGGCTGTGTACTACCAGCACATCATGTATTTCCTTTTTCTGGGTTTCCTTGACCAACTAATACCACTGTTGAAGATGAATTCTTCCTTTAGACCTGTTAATTCAGGCCATCAGGCTACTCTGATGTTTTTTATTGCCTGAGAAGCTAGCCTATTTTCTTTCGAGTGACTTTTTTTCTAAAAAAAAACAAAAACAAAACAAAAAAACAAAAAGACAACAGAGGGAGAGATTTTGAAGAGAGAAAGAGAAAGGTGCAGAAGAATAATAGAATATACACCCACTATTCACCACTCAGATTTAAAAAGTAAAAGCCTTTTTACTTAAGATTTTTTCCTCTTTAAGAAATAAAATATTACAGACAAGAATTGAAGCCCCTTTGGAGCCCTTTCTGATCTTACTGTATGACCCCACCTGCAAAATAATCACAATTTGAGGTTGGTCTGTATCCCAGGTAACTTTTGAGTCCTCCATATTGCTTTATTCTTAAGGTTTAACATTTGCGTGATTTCCTCCTCCTCTGTAGTCTCTAAGAACTAACACTAAGAAAGAAATTGCTAATACCTCTGTTCCTGGAAATGGGTGCATGCCCAGTAAGTTTCCTCTGGGAGGAAAAAGTCACATGCAGCTCACATTTCTAGACATGTGTACACACACACACACACACACACACACACACACACACACACACAAACTGAGGTCTCTCTGCTCTTTGCTGCAGGTGTCCGCCCTGTCCAGCGCTGGGGGAGTGGAGAACCTCATCCTCCTGGAGCAGGAGAAGCACCGACCCCACGAAGTGGGCTCTGTGCAGTGGGCAGGGAGCACCTTTGGACCCATGCAGAAGAGCCGGCTGGGGGAGCACGAGTTTGAGGCCCTCATGAGGATGCTGGACAACCTGGTGAGTCTTGTGCCATTGTCCTTTCAGGCCAGTCTCTTGAGCCTCAGCCCCCTGTAACCAGTCAGTGGGACAATAAGGTGGGCGTGAGAACTGCCAGCATCAGGGTTAAGTTGTGAAGGCCTCATTGATGGGCACCTGACTCAGAATTTGTGGTCATTCTAATAGTAGTTGAGTCTTCTTAAATGATGGCCTTTGCCACCCCTTCTAAGGGCTGTGGATGCCATCTTATATTGTGGCTCAGTTCACTCCTTTGTGGTTAGTTCTGCCTTTCTTATCTCATGATTTTAATGTAGAAAACACATAATATACTAATTTCCTTATTCTGGTGAGCAGTATTCTAACAACATGCTGTCATAATGATTGAACGAATCAATCCTGCAAGGAGTTAACTGGTATGTGTCCAGGAGTGGGCTTGAAAGGATACAAAAGAATGTTAAGACGTTCTTCCTTCTAGGGGCTAACAGTTTAGTTGATGATATGACCTATAAACAGGGGACAATTGGAGAACAAGAGGAAAGCATGCACCATGAGGTACTGGTTGCAGGAAGAGACTATAACATTGATTGCTCAGAGAAGTGAAGGATGAAACCTATCCTTAGACCGTTTCTATATCTAATTCATGTTCCCCTCCTCATTGCTACTACCTTGGACCCTCTTTATTGTGTCCAGGTCATTGTGATAATTAATCTTTTTCCCCTTGCCTCCAGTCCCTCCAAACCATCTCCACATTATTATGAGACTGACCATGAGGGCCACGTTATAATGATGAAAAATACAATCCACACTGAAAATATAATTCCCATTAACATTCGTGTGCCGAGTAATCCATGCCTAAGTACAGCACCAGAGCCAGAAAGTTTCATACAGGGATTCTTTCAAATCTTTAAGAAACAGACAATTCTTGTGCCATCTTAAACTGTTTCAGAGGATGAAAACAGGACACAAAACCATAATGATCATAATACATTCAGACCAGTTTTGAGTTGATGAAAAATGCTTTCTGAACACTAGCAGATAGTATTTAGCATAACATTGAATAATAATACCTAATAACCAAGTGAAGGCTCATTCCTAGTATTCAAGGATGGTTTAATATTATAAATCTTCTGGGGCGCCTGGGTGGCTCAGTCGGTTGAGCGTCCGACTTCGGCTCTGGTCACAATCTCGCGGTCCATGAGTTCGAGCCCCGTGTCGGGCTCTGGGCTGATGGCTCAGAGCCTGGAGCTTGCTTCCGATTCTGTGTCTCCCTCTCTCTCTGACCCTCCCCCGTTCATGCTCTCTCTGTCTCAAAAATAAATAAAACTTAAAAAAAATTTTAATATTATAAATCTTTTAAATGTATTTTATGATATTAATGAGTCAAAGGATAAAAACCTTTTGGTCATTTTAGTATCAGAAGTTATTTGATAAAAATATATCGACTTATAAATATAGCTGTTAAGACAGGAGGACATTTAACATGATAAAACAAATCATGGTAAAACACTAGAAGTAGAAGTAAAAGTATTTCCATTAAATTTTGAAACAAAACAATGATTCTTGCTGTCAGCACTTTTAATATTGTTCTAGAATAATATTGGACCTCAATCTAAAATGGGAGACATAAAAATAAAATATTGAAAAGGAAACAAATTTACTATTAAAAAAATTTTTTAGTGTTTATTTTTGAGAGAAAGAGAAACACAGTACAAGAGGTGGAGGGGCAGAGAGAGAGAGACACAGAATCTGAAATAGGCTCCATGGGTCTCAAACCCCCAAACTGTGAGATCATGACCTGAGCCAAAGTTGTACGCTTAACCAACTGAGCCACCCAGCTGCCCCCAAAATTTCTATTTTTTATAGATAGTATGGTTAAATGTATAAAGATACTTATTTCAGGGTTGTTTATAATATTTTGAAAATGACAAAGTATCTACCACTATTGGTTAGATAAATTATGGTATATTCATTCATTGGCATATTCTGTAGCTGTTTAAAGGTTTCTGTGTGGGAGTACTGATGCACAGGAGCACTTGTACCCCAATATTTATAGCAGCACTCTCAACAATAGCCAAATTGTGGAAAGAGCCTAAATATCCATCAACTGACAAATAGATAAAGAAATTGTGGTTTATATACACAATGGAGTACTATGTGGCAATGAGAAAGAATGAAATATGGCCCTTTGTAGCAATGTGGATGGAACTGGAGAGTGTTATGCTAAGTGAAATAAGTCAGGCAGAGAAAGATACCATATGTTTTCACTCTTATGTGGATCCTGAGAAACTTAAGATCATGGGGGAGGGGAAGGAAAAAAAAAGTTAGGAAGGGAGCCAAACCATAAGAGACTCTTAAAAACTGAGAATAAACTGAAGGTTGATGGGGGGGGTGAGAGGGAGGGGAAAGTGGGTGATAGGCATCGAGGAGGGCACCTGTTGGGATGACCACTGGGTGTTGTATGGAAACCAATTTGACAACAAATTTCATATTAAAAAAAAAGGTTTCTGGGGCACCTGGGTGGCTCAGTCGGTTGAGCGTCCGACTTCGGCTCAGGTCATGATCTCATGGTCCGTGAGTTCCAGCCCCGCGTCGGGCTCTGTGCTGATGGCTCAGAGCCTGGAGCCTGTTTCAGATTCTGTGTCTCCCTCTCTCTCTGACCCTCCCCCGTTCATGCTCTGTCTCTCTCTGTCTCAAAAATAAATAAACATTAAAAAAAAAATTAAAAAAAAAAAAGGTTTCTGTGTGTTTATAGGTTCAATAACATGAAAAAAAATCTCCAAAAACACATTGATAAGCTAGAAAAGCAGCTTATAAAGCTGTTTATGCAGTATGGTCCCATTTATATACTATTTTATATATGTTATATATAATTACTGTATGTATTCTATAGTTATGTATATACTTACATACATATGTGTATTTGTGTGTGTGTGTGTGTGTGTGTGTGTGTGTTTACAGAGACGGCCACAAAGATTTTTATTAGTTTTCTCTGGGGATGAGATTTTTATATAAAACCCACTTTTTTCTTTCTTTTTTTAATGTTTATTTATTTTGAGAGAGAAAGAGAGCAGGGGAGGGGCAGAGACAAAGAGGGAGAGAGAGTCCCAAGCAGGTTCCACACTGTCCGCTCAGAGCATGATGCAGGGCTCGAGCTCATGAACCAGGAAATCATGCCCTGAGTTGAAATCAAGAGTCAGATGCTTAACCGACTGAGCCCCCAAGGCATCCCCCCCCCATTTTTCTTTATGTTTTTCCATATTGCCTGATTTTTCTAGATAGGTCTATATTTTCTTTACAATCATAAAAATATCTTAATGCCTCTTTAATTTAAAAAAATAAAGGAAGAAGGTAGGCAAAGTCAAGAAATTATTGCTTCAGAAGCTGCCAAGCAAGATGACTGAATGTTCTCACCAATCACTCATTTCCACCTTGGGATATGGTCTTGCTTAGAAGCAGGGATGTTTTTGAGTCCAATTTCAGGGTTCTAAGAAGGAAATAGTTAAGAAGCCTTGGAGTCGAGAAAATGAGGGTTGACTTTAGAATCATCTGGGAGGCTTTCAGAAATCCTGCATCCCAGACTGTACCACTGTCCGTGGAAATCAGCAGCTCTGAGGGGCCCAGGCACCAGCATTTTTAAAGCTCCCAAGTGATCCCAAAGTGTGGCCAGGGTTGAGAACCACTGGAGTAGATGAAAAATTGGGGCACTGTTAGAGTAAGGAGCCCTGTCTGGGATTCTAGGGATTTTCTCAGCTCTAATCAGAGGGCTTGTTGGGGTGAAGGGAGGAAGATGTTGGGGGATCAGGATGAGGGAGCAATTCTGAAACACAAAAAAGGAACAGCAAGGCCTATGTTGTGTTACGGAGATTTTGGTTTAAACAGAATCCCTTAGAGAGAAGGGACAAGTGTGTGTGGGATATGTGCGTGGAGGCCATTTTCCCCACAGTAAGTGATTCTTTCTATTTCTGTCTTGTTTAGGGTTACAGAACAGGCTACACATACCGCTATCCCTTTGTTCAAGAGAAAACCAAACACAAAAGTGAGGTGGAGATTCCAGCCACCGTCACAGCCTTCGTGTTTGAGGAGGACGGGGTCCCAATGCCTGCCTTGCGGCAGCATGCCCAAAAACAGCAGAAGGAGAAGACCCGTTGGCTCAACACGCCCAATACCTACCTACGGGTCAACGTGGCTGACGAGGTCCAGAGGAGCATGGGCAGCCCCCGGCCCAAGACCACAGTAAGGAGATCAGGAGGGAGGGTGCCTGGCTACCTCTGTGGGCTAGACAGTTTTAAAGGGGGAACAGAACAAATATCCCCAGGTCTGGGTTATTACAGTTTCCCTTTAGGGCTTCCTATTGGGCATCTGGGAGCAGCTGCTCATGCCCACAAAATCTCTGGCCACCTTGTTGCACCTCTGCATTAAGATTTTGGGGCCTGAGGAGCATATTTCTCCAGGGCACAGCTGGACCTCACTCTCAACAGCACACAACCTAGGAGCAATTGGTTTTTGCTTCTTGCTCCCCCATGCAGAGGGGGCTTCTGCAAAGTTCATGGCCATCCAACATTTGGACTGTACATCCGATATAAACCCAGGAGGCAGGTGGGATATTAATTTCTATTACGTAGTCTTCTCCTTCCCCAGCCCTCTTCTCTCTCTGTCCTCCTCTCTTTCTCTCTCCCCCTCCCTTTCTCTCTCTCTCTCTCTCTCTCTCTCTCTCTCTCACACACACACACACACACACACACACACAAATACACATACATACACATCCACTCTTAATTTGATTTTTCATTAACATTAAAGTAACTAGCAGCCAAATAGAATAGCTCTTCATAAAAAAAAAAAATGAAGCCCTGCAAATTAAAAAATCATTAAGTCCTTTGATACTGAAGCTCAAGTGGCTACCTGTTTCTCAAAGGTGGTTGTTGAGGTTCTGAGCCCTAGTCTCCAGTGCTCTTTATGACTGACTGTTGACCTGAGGGACCTTCTTTGACAGCTGGGTTGTTTGTTACCCATGTCTCTTCTGGGAAACAGACAGACATGAAAGAGACCCAAGAAGAGAGAACATCTTTATGTAGGCCTGCTGACCTTCCGTGTAGGCCACATGGCCCAGATCTCAGGGGGTGGGCCATGGGGGAGGACATGGTGACTTTATTCCTTTGCCTTACCCACCTGGCCTTGTGTGTGTTCAGTGGATGAAGGCTGATGAAGTGGAGAAATCCAGCAGTGGCATGCCAATACGGATCGAAAACCCAAACCAATTTGTGCCTCTCTATACCGACCCCCAAGAAGTGCTGGACATGCGGAACAAGGTAAGGTGGGAGCTGCTTACCTTGCCATCGCTTCTCCCACAAGCAGGGAGCAGTCTCAGGTCTCACAAACATGAGATGAGTTCCCAGGGTGCACCTGTCTTAACACCCCAGATGCCTCTTGTGGGGAAGAAGCTACTATTCATTGGCCATACTCTAGCGCTGTGCTCACTCCTGTACTTATGTGGTCCTAAATAACCCTCAGACACAGATACTTGCTTGAGACATTAGATATGTCTAAGAAACCTGCCCACAAATTGAGTTTTTATGAATTTTATGCTATTTTTCTTTTGGCTCATTTTTAAAATTTCAAAATCTTTTCTGTTTATTTCTCGACCTTTGCTTTATAGTTCACTCACTCATATTTCTCATGTTACTTTAAGAACTTAAGTTGTAGTAGACCACCCCCAAAAGGTAAAATCACAGAATGGTGATTTAATGTGTGGTTTAAGGACCCTCTGCAGTGTTTGTTTAAAATGCAGATTCCACGGCCAATCCCCTGTTCCTCCCCACAGACGGATTCAGATTCAGTGGTTGTGGGGTGGCCCCGGGAATCTGTCATATTAAAGAAATTTCTCAGGGGCTTCGATAAAACATGAGGACCTCCTTCAAGGAGCTACTATGCCTTGTTCACCTCTTAAAATGACCTCCTCAGAGTGCATGAGAATCTGGTATTTTACATAAACTACTCATTCACCCTGAAGCAGACATGGACTGTCTCTTCAAGGCACACACTGCGTTAGAGGAGACAGGCCCCCCACCCCACTGGAAGGACCTTTGTAGACCCTAGTCACGGAACACGCTGGACACCAGTACGCCTTCCAAATGCTCCCTCCCAAACTCCACACTGTGACACTGAACAGCAAGCTCACTCTCTCCTTCTCTTGCCACACAGATTCGAGAACAAAACCGACAAGATGTGAAGTCGGCGGGGCCTCAATCCCAGCTCCTGGCGAGCGTCATCGCTGAGAAGAGTCGAAGCCCGGTACAGCAGAGGCTGCCCCTGTCTGGAGGGGAAACGTGTTTGCCTTCTGGGTCTTCAGTGCCTGGGGCTGGGCAGCAGGACCCCTGAGTCCTCATGCCCACCTTCCCCCATGATTCGGGGCGCTGGTGCTCTTGCTGCAAGACGGATGCTGTGAGGACCAGGGACAGTGTCTAATTGCTCTCTCTGGGTACTGGGCAGGGGAGCCTGGCCTGCCCCAGGAGGGATGCTAACTTCCATGCCTTACCCATGGAACTCCACTCTGCCCTCTATTGGTATCCTGCAAGTGGGCATCATAGGAGTGTGGCTGGTGACTCCCAGCTGCTCCAGGCCCGCCTGCCCTGAGCGTTTCTGGCCTCTGTGCGTGGATATGGCATCATCAGGCCATAGCGCTGGGAAGATGCTCATGTGCTCACAGAGGGAAGGCATGTATATAAGGACTGGTGCTCAGTTAGGAGCAGTTAGTTGCCCACACAAACCCACATAGAGTTAGAAAGTATAAAGTTGTTTCCATGCCTGAGATAGGACAGTGTTTTACTAGTGCTTAGCAAAAAGGGTGAAGATCATAATTCTGGCTTGTGTTGAAAATCATTGTTACTCATTGCAAGGTAGCAGTGGGCATGGCATATTCCTTAGTGGTAAGAAGGGGGAAAATACAGGAACTGTTCCCCTCTGCAGAGTAAATTGAGATAGTTTAGATCAGGCTGCAGCCCACAAGGTGGGTGCCCATGCCAGGAGGCGTGAAGGTTATGTCATTGCAACAGCACGGTCACCCACCTCCACTAGCCAGGATGAGGAACACCCAATGTGCCACAGGAGCAAGGATAGAAACACCCCATGATACTGGCGTGGTGGTGGTCATAGTTCGGTACAGTGAGCAAAACTGTTAAAAACTCTGCCATTTACACCATGTTCTTGGAATCCCTCTTTTTTGGGGATCCTGGTCTTGGATTCTCTCTTGAACTCTGTGATTCCTTAAGATAAGCCAATGCTGCTTCTCTTTTGGAAGATGCCCAAGGCCCATTGTCAGAGGACCTGGTAGGCCAGGGAAGGTGGCCTGGAGTGTGTGGTGTGGCCCAGCTGTTGTGGGCTCACCTCCCGAGTTTCACACTCTGACTCCTCCTCAGCTTCCAAGCACTGCATTCTCAAAGGTCACAATGAAGATGCCAAATTAGGAGAAAGGGCTATAGGGTCTGAATTTTAGACCTTGTCATGGGCTAGAGAGGTCAAAGGATTCCTGAAGCTCACACAAGGTCCAGCCAATGAGCCCCCCAGGAATTGTTGCCACTGTCCCCCAGGGACCTGCAGTACAGGCAGGTTGAAGATCTGAGATTCAGGACCTTGGCCTCCTTGTAATTTATGACTGTGTGCAAAACAGGACTAACTGTTTGGACTGAGAACGCTGAAGCCATTGTGTGTTTTGCATTTGACTTACTGCTGTGTGCTGTGGCTTGTGCTGCTGTCGGGGGGTGGGAGGAGGGTGTAGTGGGGAATGGCTGGCATGAAGCTGGCTTGAGCCAATGCTTTGCTTGCCGACTTTTGGCTAACTGACTTTGGGCTGCCAACTGTATCTGCATAGTGATGGCTTGCAAGCATCCACAGGAGGGATTGCAATAAACGTGTGTCTTCCTTCTGCTTGGGAGCATCCTTTGATTTTATTTCTAGGGCAGAGGGTGGACTCCCTGCATTTACCCAGGTAGTTGCAAAGAACCCAGGTTTGGGGGTGAGGTAGCCATGGGGAGGAATGAACAACCCCTACCCAGAGGCCCTGAGCTGTTTCCAAGGAGCTGCATGCCACGCTGCCCCTAGCAAGACCGCTGGCAGCCACATGAGTCTGAAAGGAAGCTCGGGCCTGGGCCCCAACCACGGCATTCAGAGAGCAACACACACTCTGTGGTTAACTTTCAGTCTACAGAGAGCCAGCTGATGTCCAAGGGCGATGCGGATACCAAAGACGACTCAGAGGAGACTGTGCCCAACCCCTTCAGCCAACTCACTGACCAGGAGCTGGAGGAGTACAAGAAGGAGGTGGAGAGGAAGAAACTAGAACTCGACGGTAAATAACCCTGGCTCCCTAGTGCTTCAGGATCTCCCAGGGTGGAGGGAGAGCTGGGGGCACCCAGAGAGGCAGCAGAGCCGCCAGCCATTCACTCCCACCAGTACCCCTGTGACCCATGCCTCTGCTTGGCAGGGCCCACGGGGCTCCAGCTAGCCTTCATTTGCTCTCACTCTCAATCTTCACTTGCTTTTCTCCCTCCTCTCTCATATCCTCAATTTGCCCTTCCTGCCCCATAAACCAGCATAATGCTATTAGTTACAGAATGGTCCTCATTGCTCAGCGCCTAATGGTGATGGCGAAACAGTGTTGCCACGACCTTGTCTGAGCCTCTCACCTGGGTATAAAGGAGTTAATCCTTGCACAGTACTTAGAACAGTGCCTTTAAGGGGCGCCTGGGTGGCTCAGTTGGTTAAGTGTCAGACTTCAGCTCAAGTCATGATCTCATGGCTCGTGGGTTCAAGCCCCCTGTCCAACCCCCCCCCCCCATTGAACCCCCCGTCAAGCTCCTCATCCAGCCCCACATCCAGCCCTGCATGGACAGCTTCAGATTCTGTTTCCCTCTCCCAATGAGCCCTGGGGCTCAGGCTTAGTGCTGAGCTCAGCTTGGAGCCTGTTGCTCGTTCTGTCTCCTCTCCCTCCTCCACCTGTCTTCTCTGCCCCTCCCCTGCTTGTGTTCATGCTCTCTCTCTCTCTCTCAAAAATCAATAAATATTTTAAAAAGAAAAAGAACATTACTGATTTCTTAAAAAAAAAAAGAAATGGTGCTCATGGATGGTTTTAGGTCAAATAAACATTAGGTATGATAAGGTAATTATAACAGTGATATTTATTAATCTATAAAATTATTATTCCTTCTTTATTTCAGAATCTTCAGTCAAGCTCATTTTCTCCCATTGATTCTCAACACTATCACATCTGATGCGCCGTGGGCTCTCACTCATCCTTCTGTCCTTCCTGGCCAGTTCTCTCAGCTAGGGCCTGGATCCATGCTCCATCTCCAGCCCCTCTCAGCTAAGGCCTCCTGTCCTCACCGCCTCCCCCCCCTTTGAGCTATCCCTTCTCTTTGTTTCAAGAGCACTTGGGGTCTGAGACACAGAAGAATTCAGCTCCTGGTTTAGCCCACTAGGCGAGGCTTTTATTCCCTCAGGGCAGAGTCTTCTTCCACAACCCCCTCCCCACCCAGAGTCAGTCATCCTCCTGGGCACAAAGCACACACGAGAAAAACCCTTGCTAGCTTGCTTGGAATTCTAATATGACAATTGAAAAAGTAGATAGGAAACGTGGTGCTTTACATCCCTGGGGGTTATTTGGGTTGAACATGAAAATTAGATAAATGATACATAAGCTACATGTAAACAAATCACAGGCAGGAAGCCTGCAGCCTTGAGGTCCACATCAGGGCTAGCATTCCACTGGCAGATGCGCTTGGGTGGAGGAAACAAGACAGGAGTCTGACTCCTCCCATTTGCCTCCCCCAGAATGTAGCAGAGATTTTAAAAAGGTTGGGGGAAGGAGCTAACTTCAGCCCGGAGAAATGAGGACCAGCTAGAAGAAAGCATTTTTGTAAATGTTTTCTCTCTGCCTACCTCTCCTCTGTTTGATCCCTAACCTGAAGTGGTTTCCTGTATTTTCAGGAGAGAAAGAAACCACTGCAGAGGAGCCTGGCTCCCCTGTAAGGTCTGCACCTGCTTCTCCAGCACAGAGTCCAGCAAAGTCAGAGACGAAGAGCCCCCTGGTCTCTCCCTCCAAGTCTTTAGACGGTGAGTGCAATGTGCAGCTGGGAGGGAGAAGGCATGTCCACAGGCCGGAAAGGGGTCTGTGTGAAAGGCAGGGCAGAGGTGCACACTGCAGGGACCCTGCCTTTAAACAGGTGTTGAAAAGCTACCCCAAAAGCTTTCTGATCTGCCATTTCTAGGGAATCTGAAATAGGGATTACCAAATGTAACCTTGTTTCATTCACAACCTGTGATAACACAGTTTACAATTTAAGTGCCTGTCTGAGCAGTGATGAGTGAGTTAATGATTGGCCCACAGCCTTTTCACCACTAACTCAGACTGGCTGATGGGTCTTTCTAGATGCACCAGCCCAGTGCTCAAACTTTAATGTGCGTAGGGATCATCAGGATCTTGTTAAAATGAAGACTCTGCTGCAGTAGGTCTAGGGTGGGACCCAAGACCGTATATTTCCAACAAGCTCCCGGGTAAGGCTGATGATGTCATTCTCAACCTTTGGAATCTCAACACTGGAATTACATGGGGAACTTTGAAAATCCTGACGTCGGCCTGGGTTCCCACCACAGCACTCCCAGTAGTTCTCAGCTAAATGGACTAGGGGTAGGTTAGAGAAGAGTGCACTGGAGTTTTAAGATCTCTCCAGATAAACCTACTGTGTAGCCCAGGCTGAGAAACACTTAATTAGATACTAGTTTAGACAATTAATGTCTAGGCCCAACTCAACCACTAACTAATAATAACTGCTAATTTTAGAAAATCAGATAATCTCTGGGCCTCAGTTTCCTTATCTGTCAAATGAGACTACTAATATTTTCCCTTTTAAAGGTTCTTATACATATAAGGGAAGTTGTCGATGGAAGAGAGTATACTTTGAAAGAATAAGAACGTTTAAATGTAAGATCTAATTGTGATAATGATTAATAATATACATATGGTAGATAATGATGTTATTATAGTCTATACCACCTAGATCAGAAAAGTGTCCTTAATGAGCTTCTGGAATCACTCTGGGGCATGAACACTCCTCCCCTGGGTCCCTTGAGCCCTCACCAGGGAAGGCTGTACCGCCAAGCCGGGCTTGGTGGACTGATGAGATCTTCTCCCTCCTGGGTCGAATGACCACATGTGTGGATGCTGCTAGAATCCCCTAAGCCCTGAGCTTCCTCCAGAGGTGAATTGCTGCCTTGAGTGCAGTCCCAGCATTGCCAGAGGAAACCCATCTGCTTGTGGCCAGAGCTCCAAGTGGATGTCCCCTGCCTGTTTGTGTTCATTGTGTCTCATCATGGTGTTGTCAACCTGTCTCCACAATGTCTTCCTTTCTCTTCCCATTTGTGCCTTCATCAAAGGACTTTCCTCCGATTCTGAATACTTGTCTCTGTAGTAAGTATAGAGAGGCCATTTACTAACTCACTCCAACACTTGCAATGGGGGAGGGAGGACTTTTTCAAAAGAAATGTGTTTCTCCCCATCTTTTTCTATGGCAACTCTGCCTTCAGGAGGTTCCTGGCTACAAAATTCAAGGCCAACTCCATATCTGCTATGCATGGGCTGGGCCTCGCTCTAGGATATACACACACAGGATGCACTCATGCACAAACACACACTTGTACTCACACAGGGCATACCACCCAGAAGCAACAAGCCTGCATAGTGAAAGGGCAGTGGGGCAGGCTCCTGGGCACTCCCTTTGAGGGAATGCTTATGCCGTCAGGAGCACATCTGCATCCCTGTTCCTAATACATGGCCCCTCCAAGGAGCTCATGACCTCTTCTAGGGTTGTGGCCCAGAGCCTGAATGGCCTGGGGACCAACTGCCTTATGGAGATGTTTAGAGCACCTGACCTGAATGACCATGTCTTCGTCATCCCTTGGGGCATGTGCACCAACTGCAGGAGGGAAATCCAAGCTGGAGAGGAGGCTTATGGAAGCAGTGGGACAAAGGCTAGTAATTCCATTTTAGCTCCTGGGAGCTCCTTGGAGCAATCTCTGCTGTTCAGGGGGACAGAGGGCGGGAGGAGAGGTGTATGACAGGTGGGATAACTGCTTACCCACCCCTGACATCATTCCCACTGGTAGCATGATTCCTGCCCTCTCTGGTCCAAATTTGAGCCCTCACAGAGAGGCATACCCTGGTTGAATTGTTGGAAAAGTCAAGGTCTTCCCTGAAGGCTCTTCCTGTAGCACAGACAGAGCCAACTCTTCATGACGAGGCCAGAGTTGTAGCTGCCTCAAGTGACCGATGTGAAGCAGGGCTGGGTGGACATGGCCAGGTGGCCCGATAGCTTGCCTGGCTCCCCAGGGCAGACAGGGCTGACCCTCCCCTCTACGTGTGCACTTTCACATTTAGCTCATCCATTGGATCAGGGCTGGTTTTTCTCCATTTGTCATCATGCATCACCATGCTCTCAAATGCTCTGGTGCTGAGTCACCTTGGTGTCCCTCCTCATCTGTTTCCTACCCCATTGGCTTCCCTGAAGGAGACTCTTGCAAACCCTCTTCCTCCACACTGGTCATCTCTGTCATTGCCTTCTCTTTGACTGGCTCCTGACTGTCCCTGTCCCTACTGACTCCATCCTCCAGTAAACTTGCAGGAAGCACTGGCTGTGCCTGCCAAGAAATAGCCCTGTATTCAACACCATCACTTACTGATTTCACCATCTAAATAAGTTACTTAAAAACCCTGCAGAATTTGGGGG